ACTACTATATACTACTATATACTACTATATACTACTATATACTACTACATACTACTACATACTACTACTACTAATAATAATAATACCAATACCAATACCAATACTAATACTAGTACTAATACTAATACTAATACGGCTACCATAGCACACTATTGACTATACTACTATTTCTCCTGCCACTCTCAGCATAACTACTACCACAGTCCTGAATTACACACCATTGATTGCTCTACCCCTGACCTTTCTGTGCTTCTTCCATGGTAATCTTCTTGGGCTCAGCGGTCGCCGCAGGCGCCGGCGAGACAGCAGCAGCGAAGGTCGGAGCCGGAGCAGTGACGGGCGAGGAGGTCTTGTAGCCTTGGCTCTTAAACGCCAGGAACGTATCTGGTGAATCGAGGAGTCCTTGGAAGATGTTCCTCACAATCAGGTTTATACCGTTTAAACACAAATCAGGTGTATACCGTTAAAAAAAATAAAAACAAGTTCCAATGTGGGGGTGAAATTGGTGCGCACATGTGGGAGAGGTATCATCGGCCACTACGATTCTATGCATGAATTTCGCTTCTGATAAAGCTCTAATGGCCCAAGGACAGAGATGTTCTGAGTGAGTACATGTTTGTTTCTCAAAGAGCTTCGAACTTCCCATTCTCTCCCTCCAAGTCCCAAAAACAGTTTGCACCAATCCCTTTTCGTTTCTTGATCGCTGCCATGGGAACTGAAGCCCTGCGCCGACTTCGCTGGCGTTCGGGCTTCTGCAGCTTCCGCGTCGCGGGTCAAATGCCGTGCGCGTCGCTGCTCATCGGCATTGGTGTTCACGGATGCCTTTGGACAGCCAACATGGCAGAAGACGCTTGGATTTGCTTAACGAACCAAGAAAGGATAACAACATATAACAAATATTCACCAAACACGAATTTACCCATATGGAACATAAACAATCACCTTACGCAACCCCAGGGACCCAAGAAAGAGGTGTGTTGGTGAGAGGATGTGAAAGGACACCACAGGACCCTCAGCTTGTGAAGAACAACAACTTACAGCCAATGAGCTACAATGAGCTGTATGCAAGCTGCACTCTGTTGTCGATTGTTATTTTTTGACTCCAGGCTTGCTAAGACCGAAGTCGACGTGGAATCTGGCCGCATTGTGGGTGCACCAAGCCCTATGTCTACACCGCACTATGCATTCTAGAGCTTTGAATTTCCCAGAATACATAGCCACATGGCTGTGGGTCAGTGGCACTTGGAGACCTTGGTTGATCTACCAACGTGACTTGCGCTCGTGTCTGACGCTTCCCAACAGCCCTTCACCATATGGTGGGTACAAACACTAGAGAGACTACTACGTCGTGAGACCGAAAGTCCGCGCGGCATCATGGTTTTTAAGAGCAGTCTAATTCGGAGCTGGGGGTATCGGGACCGTATCAAGATTTTCGTTTTTGGCCCACATTTTTTGCAAGTTACAACGGTACACGAAATTGTTCATAGGTTAACATTGGTTGATCTACCGACGTGACTTGCGCTCTGAGTCTGAGCTTCCCTAGGCCCTTCACCATATGGTGGGTACCAGGGTGGGGGAAGTATCAAACAAAACATGCGCTGTAATTGCAAGTACCGTCAAGCAATCTATCTCCGTGACACCGAAGATCCGCGCGGCACAAAGGAATGCAAGCCGGTGTATCGAAACGCAAGCACCTAATTGGGAGCTGGAGGGATCGGGACCTCATCCAGGCCTTTCGAATATTGCGGCGATAAACAATACACTGTTCATACGTCAACGGCACTGGAGCTATCGCCTCAAAAGAAGTCTGGACAAACTGCATCGATACTGTTCCATCTTGATACTATTCCATCTTGGTTGATCTACCTGGTGGGTTGAAACCGTGCGCGACTACACGGACTGGTCGGGCTCCAGGTAGGTCACGACCCATTCCAAAATGACTTCCCAGAGCCATGGCACTTGGGGTAATATCAAGTCCCAAAACATAGCACTTGGGTGGATGCAGAAGTGCGTGCGAGAACATACATACTGCAAGCTCATCCGAGTCCAGGTCTTTCCATGCTCCTACGCGGAGTCTTTGACCAAAGATTTGGGTGCAACCTACGGAAGAGTTCCCAAAATGGAGCTGAGCCCAGCAAACAAACTTCAATGGTAACCCCTGAAAAATCAAGCTCCTACCAAAAAAATTTCTCTCTCCCTTGCGCTGATCAGCTAATGTTCGGCGACGACCATGGCCTGAGCATTGGCCAAGCGCTCCTTGGCCAAAAGGTTTGCATCTTCCGAGATCTCTTCTTGCTCCTCAAAAGTTCACGAGCGTTTTGCTCAACTAAAGACTCAGGACAGTGGGTTATTGAAAGCATATGCGAAGTGAGGTGTTACGTCTGTAACACTGCAAGGGAGTGCAGCAATGGAGACACCAATTAAATTATCAACTTAAGTATAGGGGTTGCGTTGAGGAGGGACCACCTCACCCCCCCAGGAATAGATTTATATAAATGATTCTGGGTGTGTGTGTGTGTCCACCCCTGGACAAAGGGTTTCCTTCGACCACTCCAACCAGGCAGGGGGCTCACGGGTCTGTTCCTGGCGTGAGCCAACGAAGCTCCAGGTTCAGACTAGGATATCGAAAGAGGACGCTCTTTCGACGTACCTGCAACCTGAACTTTTGACCACGCTGTCTAATCTGCTTGGTTTGTTTCCATGGTTTTTCATGATACCTTCCCCTAAACCATTTCTTCCCCAGCAGCGCTGCAGCTTGAGCCGCTTCGTCACCGCAGTCAAGGGAAACAACTTTTGTTCACACACCTACAAATTTCTCGGACTTTTCGCCATGCTGTTCCACCGCCATCCTTCCCATCGTGGTAACTGAGTTCACTGAATACAAGTGTCAGAGTGTGTTTCGCTCAGCCGTCCCACTCGGGTGCTGAGTGTGATCCCCGTCATTGGGGCGCCGATTTTGCATGGGAAAGCAACAACCACAAAGCACCACCACTCACTGGACTTTCACAGGAAGTCACCGACACCCTCACCGAATCAACTGACATACTGGCCGCCGGGCCAAAAAACGGTTCCTGTGGAATACATCAGATTTCAGTTTTCAGATTTCGGATCGGCTAAGTATTCACATGCCTGCGCTGCTAAGTATTCACAGGCCGGATGAATTCATCATGCACAACCCCCCCCCCCCCTCCCTACCCCCAGGCCTCCGTTGCTATCCCACCCGCTACTCGGGAAACAGAAGGAAATCGCACTCAACACACTTGTGTGTTGGTGCCTTTCCTTCTGTTTCTCCTAGCTATTGCTAGCTACCCGGGCGGTTTAAGACGAATGTCCCGCTCGCCTTCTACTTTCGTTTAACTAAGTGGGCCTCGTAACTACCCTATTTTTCTTTCTTGCCCTCTTAGTCTGCTCTTGTTTCGTTGCTTTTTCTGTCTTTCTAAGGCTTTTTAGGTGTCTACTAGTTCTTCGTTGCGCCAACAATTTGGCGCTTTTTGTACAAATGTTCCCCTGGGAGTTAGGACGCTACTGGAGGCCCCTGGCCTTACTACTACTTTGACCGCGCCGAAAACGGCTCTGTGTGTGTGTCCACCCCTGGGCAAAAGGTTTTCGTCCACTGGTTCAACGGTAGGGGGTGTCTTGAAAAAGCGCCGAAGCCGGCGACTTGTGTGTGTCCACCCCTGGACAAAGGGTTTCCTTCGACCACTCCAACCAGGCAGGGGGCTCACGGGTCTGTTCCTGGCGTGAGCCAACGAAGCTCCAGGTTCAGACTAGGATATCGAAAGAGGACGCTCTTTCGACGTACCTGCAACCTGAACTTTTGACCACGCTGTCTAATCTGCTTGGTTTGTTTCCATGGTTTTTCATGATACCTTCCCCTAAACCATTTCTTCCCCAGCAGCGCTGCAGCTTGAGCCGCTTCGTCACCGCAGTCAAGGGAAACAACTTTTGTTCAAACACCTACAAATTTCTCGGACTTTTCGCCATGCTGTTCCACCGCCATCCTTCCCATCGTGGTAACTGAGTTCACTGAATACAAGTGTCAGAGTGAGGTAGGTTGCTGATAAAGATTCTGACCTTCCCCTCCTAACAAACTGATATCAAACAGCTGACAACCCCAATAGGAAAGCATCCACCAAGATCTGGCGAATGTTTTGGGCGTGCGTTGTTCGATGATTGTTCACATATGGAACATCGAGGCACAACCGTCAAAAAGCAAATGCATGTTACGTTGAAATGCAATCCCATAGTTCACACACACACACATTTGCAAGCGAAACGATGCAACCCAAATAGATGTACCGAGGCAACACCAAGCCATGACCGAGACACCAGCAACCACCGCCCAGGCGGCCGTAGATCCGACGGGAAACCGCCGACGGGCGCCTCAAGAATGTACAACCCCAAGATATCGCTATTGGGGAAACACGTATGAAACTCAGACTCATCTTCATTTCAGTAGATGTCTGTATGCTTGAGACTCAGGCGCATTGAAAAAAGACATTGAAAACACAGCGATCATCAATTCTGAAATCATATAGTTATGTGAACAGATTCTTGTACATCGTTGACCACCCCCCTATGACCCCCTGTCAAGAAATGAATAGAATAAAATGATTCCAGCAAAATGATTCCACCCATTGACGTATCCCCTGGAATAGTTATCTAGCGCGACCCCTATACTTAAGTTAGCCCCTCGGCTTTCCAACCACCATTGATATAGTCTGTACCAAACAACCATTGTCTTGCTAAGGATATTGGACTACAACACCAGGTCAACCATGTTTCAATTCATTGCTTAATATGCTTAAATGTGTTCGACAGGCGAGGGTTAGCATTCCATGATCTTACTGCACTGCCAATGGGCCAGCATGTCTGGCAGGATCGATCATCAACGGGATGTAGAGCCCATCTCCACCGGGACTTTGGTGGTTTGGAACCAAGAAAAGCACATCCACATCGAAAATCTGCCCATAAGCATCCATAAGCTATACCATGGAGTCGAGGGAGGTTGAGCGTTACTTGGTTTACGTATGCCTGTGGGTCACCAGGAGACCGACTGGTACCACTGGTTGACCTACCGGTTCCAGGCTGTTCGCTTGGACGAGGGCTCCAAGTTTTGACTGGGGTCCTCCTTCCGAATCGCGGCTTGAATCTCCCGCACGTCCAGCGCCCCATCGTCCTGGCAAGTTGTTTGGGGGCCTATAAGGTATAAACATCGGGGTAAACAAGTAGAGACTTGGAGAAACGACGGGCATAGTTCCTTTCGACTTCACAGGGTAACACTGACCATCCCCACCCCATCAATGTTGTCCATTCTGATGCGAACATGGTGACAGCCAATTTCAAGTGTGCAGTGATTTCCCTACGGTGGCTCGGAGACATTCCCGTGTGTCTCACAGTCCTCAAGTCCAAACACCAAGTTGGGGCAAATCGGATGATTGCACCTGATCTGACTCCGACTCCCCGGGAACGTGGGGTCGGACATCTACATTTCGAGGGCGAGAGCGCCCAAGGCCGGGCGGTGAAGAAGTCAAAAATATAAACGGTTTAAAAATGTTTAAGACATATTGAAAATACGTTACTCAAATACTTATTAAGAATTTTAAACACGCATTATTAAACAAATTCTAAGAAGAACATTAAACACATACTGTACTTCGAGTGAGCCCCACCATGACATTTCAATCATTTGTCTTCATGCCATGGTGAGGAGCATGTTGCCATGGTCGGGAGTTTTGTGGTTCTCGATTTTGCTTGTGGGTCCTCGGGTTGTGTGCTGTGGTTGTGTGTTGTGGTTGTGTGCTGTGGATGTGTCTATGTTAGAAATTCAAGCTGTTCGTTTAAAAGTGAAATTATTTCACATCAAGCAACCTCATTGAGCCACTGCGCACATATCCAGGCAAGTTGCAAAAAGGAGTTAGTGTCTTGAGGACGACGGAAATCTAACAACCCTCTCACCTGACAGGTGGGGAGAACAGACAGACATATCTGACGCGGCCGAATTTATGAGATCTTATGCGTATTGAGCACTTGTCCTTGGGCCCTAGGGTCTGTGATATACAAGGATCCGCGGTCGGAGGTCGCAGGTTCTTCGAAACTTGAACTACGGGACTACGGGTCCATCAGAATGACCTCAATGTTCGCGAGCTATGCTGGTGTTCATAGGTGTTAAAACATGGACGTGTTGCAACTTGCCACCGGAGACCGGTGGTGGTCTCACGCAGATAAAACACCCGTCTCCTCGTGGTAACGGTCATAGGGCCGTGGCAAAGCAGTCTTCTCTTCATCAGGCAGTTTCTTGTCCTCCAAAGGCGCCTCAAGAGCTACACCGGGTGGAAAATTAACATGGAACCTGAACATCTTTCCTCTACAACCCGGTGGTTTCAGGTTGCATGTCAAAACCCGGATCCCCAAACCAGAGTAGGTTGACCTCCTTAATAGTCCATTCAGTTCATTTTATCTGGTCAACCGGTAGCTCGGTTTTGAACCACACCTGGTGACGACTTTTGAGAACACCAACAAAAACGTCGAAACTCACAGGCCAGGACGGATCATGTTCTCACCGGCATTTTAAAAACCGGTGTGGTTTTCTAAGAAAAGGACTAGGACGTTCTCACAAAAGGACTCCCTGAAATGAGGCCAGCAATCATTGTGGCGTGTGTGAAAACAAGGAAGAAGGAAAATAGACTGAAAATAGACCCGTCTACCCATTGGGCCAGGAATTTTTCGTGGTAAGCTGAAAGAAGTTGATTTGTCCATTGAATGTCGGTGGGAAGGGGGTCAATGTAGGCATATATGCCTATCCTGGGGATGTTAATATATTGTTAGTGGAGTTGTGGAGATATCAACTTCAGTACTTCCAAATCAGCCGCACTTGTGCCTCCAACCCCACCATGAGATCAACTTTAGAAGCGACCAGCAACGGAACAAGCGTCGAATGTACCTGGAGACTGTGGTGGGATGCTTTACTGCTTTCATGTGAGGGACACAAATAAAGCCCTTCGGTGCTTCTTTCCGAATCAGCCAATCATTGGCTGAAACGCGCCGTGCACGATGGAGAGATCAATCGTTGTAGTCCGTTCTGTGTCCATGTTCCGTTCTTGCTTGAAGAGGTTGGACAATCTGACTGGGAGTAGTTGTTCTTATATAACCATCAGGAGTCTACCGTATCTTAAAAAAGTAAATATTATATATATATATTGGGGCCGTTCTAAACCTCGGTGCAGGGCATAATGCTGAAAAGCTCTTGCGCTCGCCCTAGCGCCTTCTTGCGCCTCCGGGGTTTTGGCATGTTTTGAATGTTCTCATTGATGCAGTAACAGCAAGAAAAAGTGGCGCACCGGAGCCGGAAATAGCAAAAGTAGTGGTACGTAGGGGTTTTGGCATTTTTTGAATGGTCTCATTGATGTAGTAACAGCAAGAAAAAGTGGTGCACCGCAGCCGGAAATAGCAAAAGTACGAAAAGTAGTAGTAGTAGTAGTAGTAGTAGTAGTAGTAGGTAGTAGTAGTAGTCGTACGTACGTACACCACTGTCACTGCACCTGGAAACTCCAGTCCGGAAGGAACTTCGCCGCATCGTACCTGCATACACACACACACACCGCTGCACCTGGAAACTCTAGTCCCGAAGGAACCGGTCCAGAAGGAACTTGTCCAGGTAGTCCGCCGCAACGTACCTGCGTACACACACACTTATAGAATTGCGTACTGATTTGAAAGCGGTTTGCCACACTCCGAACTCCGAACTGAGCTTAAAAAGCCTGAGATACCAGGAGGACAAGTAGTAAGTTAAAGGCCATCGCGTTTAGGTTGGAGGCCATCGCAAGGAAGTTGGAGGCCAACGCTAAGGTTGGAGGCCGTCGCTAGTAGGTGGTAGGTAGTATGCACAAGCAAAA